GCATATAAAACCCTGAAGCCCACCCTCAATGACACACTTACTCCAACAAGGCCACACCTCCAGTAGTGCCACTCCTACCGGCTAAGCCTTCAAACACTGAGCCTGTGGGGCCATTCCTATTCAAACCACCACAGTCATCAATAATTGAGGTAATTTTTTCTTTTTATTTTATTTTATGTTTTAATTTATTTATTTTTTATATTAATCACAGGTTATTTACTTTGTTTCCCAACCATAGCCCCCTCCCAATCCCACCCTCCCTCCTTCATCTTCTCCCTGCCCCTTTCCAAGTCCACTAATAGGGGAGGACCTCCTCCCCTTTCATCTGACCCCAGCTTATCAGGTCTCTTCAGGACTGGCTGCAATGTCCTCTTCTGTGGCCTAGCAAGGCTGTTCCTTCCTTGGGGGGGGGGGGTGTCAAAGAGCTCACCATTGAGTTCATGTCAGGAATAGTCCCTGTTTCCCTTATTAGAGAACCAATTTGGACACTGAGCTACCATGGACTATATCCGAGCAGGGGTTCTAGGTTATATCCATACATGGTCCTTGGTTGGAGAAACAGTCTCATGAAAGACCCTTGTGCCCTGATATATATCGTCCTTATGGAGCTCCTGTCCTCTCCAGGTCTTACTAATTCCCCCTTCTTTCATATGATTCCCTGCACTCTGTCGAAGGTTTGGTTATGAGTCTTAATATCCGCTTTGATACAGTGATATGTAGAGTCTTTCAGAGGCCCTGTGCTGTAGGCTCCTGTCCTGCTAGTTGTTTTCTCCTACATCCAATGTCCATCCCATTTGTCTTTCTAAATGAGGATTGGTCATCTTACCCCGAGTCCTCTTTCTTGTTTATTTTCTTTAGGTGTATAGAATTCAGTATATTTATCCTATCTTATAGGTCTATATGAGTGAGTATATACCATGTGTGTCTTTCTACTTCTGGGATACCTCACGCAGGATGATTGATTCTAGGTCCCACCATTTGCCTGCAAATTTCATGATTTCCTCGTTTTTAATTGTTGAGTAATATTCCATTGTGTAAATGTACCACAATTTCTGTATCCATTCCTCAACTGAGGGACATCTGGATTGTTTCCAGCTTCTGGCTATTATGAATAAAGCTGCTATAAACATGGTTGAGCAAATGTCCTTGTTGTGTACTTGAGTGTCTTTTGGATATATGCCTAGGAGTGGTATAGCTGGGTCTTGAGGAAGCGCTATTCCTATTTGTCTGAGAAAGTACCAGATTGATTTCCAAAGTGGTTGTACAAGTTTGCATTCCCACCAGCAATGTAGGAGGGTTCCCCTTTCTCCACATCCTCTCCAGCATGTGTTGTCACTTGAGTTTTTGATCTTAGCCATTCTGATGGGTGTAAGGTGAAATTTCAGGGTCGTTTTGATTTGCATCTCCCTGATGACTAAGGATGTTGAGCATTTCTTTAAGTGTTTCTCTGCCATAATTGAGGTAATTTTAAGTTTGCAATTTTGTGTTATAGCCCATGGGCCACACGTTAGATACAAATGCAATTTTGTAACTTCACAAACTTAGAATGATCTTATAACCACATACTGGGAACTAGTTATTACTCTGATGTCCCTCCACCCAGTGTCAGGAACATGGAAATGCACTTAACACGGGTGTAATCTTTTCCTCCCCTCTGCTCACTAGCAGCTTGGGTAAAGCTTAACTCTCCTAGCCAGGTTACCTCCCCTAGAGGAACAGCGAGGCTGCCAGTGGCGCATGCTCAAATTGCTCAGGGCAGGGCCGTTCTACAGTGTAGGACCCCTCTATTAAGGTTGAAGTCAAGCATTTCTGTGTAGCTCTGAGCTCGGTGTAATATGCTGGACCCCCTTTCTCAGATGGGTTCCCTCTTTGCCTAACCTGGGGAACCCCGGATTCTCTAAGGGGCTTTACATAGCCCTCAGGGAGATTACAAGCCCAACCCTGTCAAGGTAAGAAACCCGTTCAGCAAGCACCTGCCTCTCAACCAAAGACCTTTAACCAAACCTGGGTTCTTCCCCACCCATAGGATAACTAAGTACTACTTCCCCCTCTTATGTTAGGACTGTGTTACGGCATGTAAATCCAGTATCCCTGGCACCTCTAGCTCCAGCAAACTCATTCACCCTCAGAACCCCTCCCACTGCCCAAGTTGTAAAAGTCCCTGGTTTTACGTAAAATAAACGTGCTGCATGCTGCCAACAGCTTTTGGCCTCCACTGTCTGAGATTCATCATTTATTTGGGAAAGGAAGGGCTCCCCTCCTTCCTGAAAATGCCCCATTGAACCTCCAGGGTTTGGCTTCTGGCCAGGCTGCCACAGCTGCCTCGGTCACCATTGGAGCCTGCAAGCTCCGTGCTGACTGCCTGTGAAATGTAACACCCAGTGGAAAGCTCACTTCCACCTCCCCGGGTGAGACGGGGAGCCCTGCCTCACCCCGGCCTCGCCCCAGCATGCTAGCCATTCCTGAGAGAAACAGAACCTTTGATCTCCAGGTCCCTCTGTTTCCATCCAGAAGGATCCAGGACAACCCAGGCTGCAGCCGGAGCCGGATCAACACTATAGCCCGAGTTTTCTACATGGTAGAGGCCGTTGCTCTATTTAGATCTTTTGTGTTGAAAACGCCCTTTGTGGAGCAGTTCGTGTTGCTGTCACTGTAGAGGCCCAGAGCAGCACTGTTGTCACAGGACACCAGAGACTCACCGGGTTGGGAAAGCGTGAGCCACAACTACCGACTTGGTAAGGCCCCAGAAATGCCTACTTCCTGATGCTAGATCGGGAAATACTGCAAACCACGCATCCTCAAGGAGAATAAGGTATCTCTCGTTAGCTACCAACCAGCTGCATCACAATATTGATCTAGCAATTCGACAGGTGTCTGCTTTGATAACTGAGCTTCTGAAGACTTTCACATGGCAAAACTTAGCCAACTTCATCCAGTAACTTTCCCATTCCTAAAACATCAGCTCTCTTTTTGTGTCTAATACTTTATAGGCATTTTTGAAGCCAAAAACAAAAAAACAAACAAACAATTAAAAAAAAAAAACCCTCACTGAACAATTATCAAAAGACCACAGCTGGGCTGAACCCTGTTTTCAAATAACTCAGAGAACGAAACAGTCTGCACCCTGTGGGCTGCTTGTGCTCCTTAGCGATTCGAATAGCTCCTGTGCAGGGGGCAGATCCATAAACAAAATCAGCCAGAGCGCAGTTCTCCTATGCCTGAGGAGGTGACAGTAGAGATACCGTTTCCGAGAAAAGCACAGCGTTATCCAGGCATTAACCCAGCAGGAAGAAGACCTGACTTCCGGTTTCCCAGACCACACCCTCCCAGACACCATTTCTGATGCTGTCGCAGCGCCCTGCGTCTTTCATCGGATGCGTTAGGGCGCTTGGCCACGCTGCCTTCCGACTTATTAAATCATATGTGCTGCGGGCATTTCTTTCCATTTCTCTTACACCGGTGAGGTGTCCAGCAAGAGTGAGGCTGTCACTCCCCCCGCAATCTTCTCAACCAAGTAAGGGCTGGAGAAAGGGTGCTTGGACTCTAAAATAACAGAGGAGTGCAGCCTTCCATTCCACCCTCCTCCTCTATTCCTAGCAGCACATCCTCCGACGGCTCGAAACCATTGCTGCTTAAACCACATGCTCCCACACCAAAGACAGCACCTCGGTTACTTTCTAAGCAGATGTGTCCAAACATGAAAATACTACAAACATAAACCCTGTCCTGAGGCCTTAGAAGACTTAGCAGGAAAGAGGGTATAGGTGAAAGAAATAATACTTTAAGGTCTGAAAAAAACAACTGCTTCTACCTGTCACATTTTTTACCTTGCACACATGTATGCACACACATACACACGTACACACATACACCGAATGCATGTGCACATGCGAACACACACAGGCACACAGAGACACATTTATGCATACAGAACAATTTCAACCAATTGCACTTAAGAGCAATTACAAATATAGATATACATATATGTATATATATAAATTTATATATATTTGTATATATGTATATATAAATATATATATTTGTGTGTGTGTGTATATATATATATATATATATATATATAT